AGGCATTGGATGTAGATTAAGCTTTTATTCTTATGTTTAAGAGTTCTCTGTGTTTAAGGGCCATTAAACTTTTCAACAATTTTCAACTTTTTTTTTCCACTTTAAGGAAGAAAAAAAAAAAAGGCTGTGGTGGGACTCCAGATCCAGATCTTATAATCAGAATCATAGGACAAAATAGGTAGAAATAATGTCCTATGTTAAAGGAAAATAGCATGAATTCTCAACCTGTTTGTTTCTACCGTGGTGTAAATAACAGATGTGTGGGTTGGATTTCCTTACTGATCTGGTGCCATCACCAGTGGCCCTGGATATGGGGCCTAGACCATACTTCCCTTCCGACATCAACTGTAACATCTTAGGCGGGGAGATAGCAGCCTTGGCTTCAATTCGTAAAGTAATAGCACAGACTTTTTCTCTCTGGAGAGTTAAACAGTCATTCTAGTTTGCCTCAGTATTTTTCATTTCCATTTTTAAAACTGTATTGATAAGGATTTGCGTTGATGGAGAATAGAAAATGCTTCTCTTTTTCTTAATACCCCAGACCTGTCTTTGATTGAAAGAATTCATATGTCCAAGGTATGCATTTTGTATGGAATTATCTAATTCTTTATGAGAAGGATAAGCCCACTGGCCTGAATTACAATTTATTTCATTCCTCTGAGCACTGATATGGAGTTCGCCCCAACATACAGGGGTGTGGCATCTCCTGGAGGTTTGTACTGAGCCTTGTAGAAATTAAGTGCATTTTTTAATTGCAGTAAGTACATGGGATTTGGATTTCCAGTTCAGGCCAAATGAAGCCACCAAAAGGGGTCTTTTACAATAATAGGAATAGCAAAAGATACCTGGCCTTGAACTAGTGTTATAACATTTTTTATAACAGTGAGCTTCCATTTTGGGACTTCCTCTAATGGTGAACATTTTCTCTATGTGCAGTAGATGGAAGAGTCCTCCAACCCAACTTCATTTATCTACTTTGCAGTGTAAAACTCCACTCCCTCTCTGTTCTACCTTTTGGATCTCCCATGACTGGGGACTGCATAGAAGCTGTGGGATGCTGAGAGAGAAATTTGAGGGCTGGAGAAATTTCTCACAGAGCAGTAAGCTCATTGTTAACAAAGCCCTGTGTACGTCCTTTTTTATTTCTTCAGCAGTCTCGGGAATAGCCTCTTTTTATCTCACCCTGTCTGTTGCTGCTCATGAAAGATTCTCCATCTGAAACCGCAGAGGAGTTAAATACCAGCTTGGTTTTTCTCTTATCATTTTGTCCCTAAAGCATGCTCCCAGCTATTGTGGAGTTTTCTCAAAAGGCAGAAATGCTCCAGCCTGCATTGGCCCGCCCATTGTTACCCGTCTTAGCCTTAGAAGTTCAAAGAACAAACTCGAAAAGAAACCCAGGCTCTGCTGGGCATTTTATCCATAGATCTGGCAAAGGTCAAGTAAAGGAAGACCAAAATATCCAAGTAGATATATACAGCCTCGGTTTCAGCACCTCGCAGTCTATTAGTGTCCTTGTCAAGAGCTGCTTCAGAAGAGCAGAAGGTCACAAGCATCATTGGAGTGGGTTCAAGAGAGGAACTGAGACAGCAAGTAAGGCCGATTCCAAGAGATTTTGTTGTACAGACAGTCAACAAGTTTGACTTTTGAGGTAGTAGACAGCAGGATGTGGAGCCAGAGAATTTTTTTTTTTTTCTTAAAAAGTTAGGGTCATCACAACATACTTGTACAATACCATGAAGAGAACAGGCACATGAAGAAGGAAACCTTTATGAAGTGGTAGGGAGGACACAGCAGCCAGAGGCATGACCTTGAATCGACAAGCAGGAGTAGGATGTGGTGCTACCTTGAGGTAGGAGAACAGATCCTAACAGAAGGGAAGGCATATGTGTGCGTTCAGTGCGGAGACAGTAAGTGTGGGGGTCAGGGAGAGCGTGTGGGGGTTGGTTCTCTTCTGACTGCTTCTATGAATGAGTTAAATAAGAGTAAAGGAGATCATGCTGGATGTTTGAAAAGAGAGAAGATGTGCAGTGGTTGTCTAGGAGAAGGGAGGCGTGCATGGAGTGGGTGATTGTCATGGGATTATGGTTGTACTTGAAGTTTATAGTCTTGAATTTAAGTGAGGAAAGGAGTACTGTGTGCGATGGTAGTTTGCTGGTACATAGGTATACTATCTGCTCTTCAAAGTTATTGAGAGAATTAAATGTGTTAGGAAGCATTTTGAAAATCGCTTCTTGGCCTTTTGGTTCAGGTCAAGCGTAGAGAAACCATTTTGAAGTATTAAGTACAGGACATCGTTATTATGAAACTTAGCTTTGAAATATTTAGCACTTTTCCTTGGCATAAAGCTTTTCAGGTTTCTTTAAGATAGCCTTAGTAGCTCTAGAGACGGCATTTTGCTTCTGCCTCTGATTTACTTGGTAACTAAGTCTAAGCAAGGACTTAAACTCCTTCTACTTTTGTCTCTCAATCTACAAAATGAGTCTGGTAATGTTTGAGATATATATATATATATATATATATATATATATATATATATATCATTAATAAAATGGTGTTTCAGCCCCGGCTATCATGGTCAGCAGAAAATCAGGGAAGTCAGAGCATCTGAAAAAGTTCTGAGTCTTGGGTGGTAGACACCTCCCTTGGGGAGCTTGCGAAGGAGGAAGGAAAGATAAGTATCTTAAATTAGGTGTCACCCACAGTATTCCCTTTAATTTTCATCAGTATTCTGTGAGGCTGATTAATAGAAACCTGAAGAGATTAAGTAACCTGTGAAAGCCACATGGTAGACCTTAGATTTCAATCCAGAACAACCTTAAAAATTCCATTTTCTTCTCACTTTGCCTCATGCGGAATTGGGCATGATTCATGCTAGCCATAGGAGGCATAGAACAATATATATGTGTATGTATCCTATATAATAAAAGGCTAATATGCAAATAGACTGAACGGTGGAACAACCGGTCACTATGATGCGTATTGACCACCAGGGGGAAGATGCTCAATGCAGGAGCTATCCCCTGGCGATCAATGCACTCCCACAGCGGGAGCACCACTCAGCCAGAAGACAGGCTTATGATTGGGGAGCACAGCGGCGGTGGCAGGAGCTTCTCCCACCTTCACATGAGGGCTAAGGACCCCTCAGGGGATGTCTGCCTGCCAGCTTAGATCCCAGAGGGTGCAGGCCGGACTGAGCTGCCCCCCAGAGCATGAATGTAGTGCACTGGACCTCTAGTACGTATATAATAGACCTGTATTTTAGCCCAATCTCTTCTCTGCCGCCAGATATTCTACTGGAGTTGCCCAGCAGTAGAATAAACTACTTTGTTGTAGATATCATCATGATAAAGTCGTTGATAAGAAATCAAATGACAAGAAAAGTCAGGAACATCAGGGTGAGGGAGTAGTAAGCTGACTAAATATTTGCACTTAGCAACAAATGCAGTTTTCAAACACATTTTAGGACAGAAGCGTGGATGCTAGAAAATAAGTAAATGTGTGTGGTCCTGGGAACTGCAGGAATACCATGTACACTGTGCCCTTTACTGCAAATGCAATATGTATCTTAGAAACTGTAGAGCACAAACTGCTCTAAGAGAAAATCACTGCTCTAGTAGATTTTGATTTTTGAGTAACAATTACCCACCTGATAGAGGTGATAGGAAACGTATATTTATTTTCTTCCAACAGCTAAAAGGTGACCATACTTCTAAAATTTGTTGAGAATGTCCAAGAAAGTGTGTAAAATACTCATCCATCACTGGAAAGCCCCCGGTCAGGAAATGACAGTGCAGTAAATATCTTCAGCGGCCACCTTTTAATGCACAAGCTGTTCTCGGTTGGAACTTTCAGCACTCACATAAAACACACTGTCATGAGTGACTGCTTGTGCTCCAAAGTCATTACTATTGGGATAATGGAACATCTCTCAGCGAATAACCAAAAACTTTAAATGTCACGTCACTTCAAGCCATTTCAAGCCCCATTCAAGGTTACATGGATATTGAGGGTGTCTGTTTTTTCATAGTTTAAGGTCCATGAGAGAGATCATTCCTATGGCTGTGCCATGTGAGAGTCGGTTAATTAAAAGGAAACCTGGCATTCTTTGTGAAAGTCAATCAGCCAGAGCCATTTAGGCATTAGCTACTGCAACTCCCTCCTTAGAGCCTTGATAAGTGAGCATCACTGTCACTTACTGCCAACAAAGGAAAATATGTGTGTATGTGTACCTGTCAGTATGTATATGTGTGTATATATTTGACAATTAAATTATAACCTAATTCTGTTTCGCTAGCAAGTTTTAATAATTTGCCTGTCAAGTTCAATGTTTCTTTTAGGTGAAATCATTGACTTTTGAAATTTCAATAGAAACTTTTCTCTTTCATTTTGTTTGAGAAGAAAATTATTATTCAAACGAATGCTTATCTTGGGTCATTTCCATAGGGTGTGGAAATCATTTCTTTGCCCGGCATATGTTTATTGAACACCTACTTTGCTCCAGGGCCATGTCAGCCACCAAAGTCGCAGCATGTTTAAAACAATGTTCCTCATGTCTTGGGGCTCATATTCTAGTGAAGAGATAGACATTGGACAAGTAAACAAGCAAAAGGTGTGTCCAGTAGTTATGAGTTCTATTCAGGGAAAGATGAGGGCATAAGGAGATACTGTGTGTCATTTTGATGGATGGTCAGAGAAGACCTCCCTTCAGATGGCATTTGAGTAGAGACCTGGATGAAATACAGACCCCAGCTTTGATGATAACTGAGTGATAGTCCCTGCAGGCGTAAAAGAAGAAGGAAATAACATAAGTGCTAATGAAACTCTTGTTTGTTTTTATTTCAGTTTATAACCTCTGCATGTTTATTTTAAATCTGTTGAATATTTTTAGTTTAATATATCTAAGTGGACCTGTTTATTGAGAATAATTATTTTAAAATTTCATGATCTGCACAGTCCTTGCTCATCACAGTGATAAATTCGATGTTCCTTCCTTCCTGTAGAAAATCAGAAAGTGCAGTTGACAGAAGGGTCGCGTCTACACTACAATATCAATTGCAACTCAACAAGGACTCCAGTCGCCAAGGAGCTTAATTACAACCTCGACACTCACACGTCCACAGGGAGGGTCCAGGCAGCTGAGAAGGACACCTGCCGTGTAGAAAGCAGCAGAAAAAGGGAAAAGGAACTTCTTGGCTCAGTTTCTAAAAACGAATCCCTTCCTGAAGTTGAAGCCCTGCTGGCAAGATTACGAGCTTTATAAATTAAACCGGCAAAAAATATAACAAAATGAGTAAGCCAAATAGAAAGCCATGCTCTGAGCTATAACACTTGAAAAAATTGCTTTCTGTGTAAGTTACTTTATATAATTTTAAATTATGATCTCTATTAGAAAAATACATCACTGCAATGCTTTTCCTATGTACTTGAGGTTGCGATCCATTCAGGATTTTAACGGGCTTTAACATCTTCTCTCACCTGGCATTGACATTTTCTGCATTTGGTGGTTAGGTTATACACTGTTTTAGAGACAGTAAGTGGCCACGTGTTCAGCAATGTATCCTTAAGAAAATAACCATCTTTCTAAGTCAACTGTAATTTCTATTTTATTATTTTCAACATTAACGAACCTCAAATCTTCAACCTCAAGTCATGCTACATATCTATGTGTTCTTTATATAGATCCAGATTCTCCCAAACTGGGGTCTGCGTGCTATTAGCATAGTATCAAAAATATAAAACTGAATAGAACAGAGCTATGAGAAATAATTGGTAAGCTTCTTACCATCATTGAATTCATATTATTTATATCTGTAGGAAACTATAAGACCATTGAGCGCATTTCCAAAAATGATATAATAGGAATGTATGCACTCTGTAGAATGCACAAGATTTTGTATGAAGCTGGACATATAGGGTATTGCAATGCTGCTGAAACTCTTAGCACACCCAACCTTGTCCCCTCCCCCCTCACTCCTCTCCCCTATAATTATGACTCTGGGATAGAATTTCCATTTTGAAACTTCCCAAGTAACAAATGTCTTTATTTCTGTAAACAAACTTGGAATTGCAGTTTGTTCGATCTGACAATCAATAACTTTAACAAAGATCTAAAAAAATGTTTCATTGAAAGTTTTCTTATGCAAACGTTACACATGTACTTCATTTGGGGTATCAAATTACCGTTGTTAATTCCACATCAAAGACAATAAACTTGTACTTTTACTTGCACTAAATGAGAGAAATCGCTCTTTTCCTTTCTGTAGTTAGCATATTCTGTGGCTGAGCTGAAATAGACTGTGCTATGCAGTCTCTCTAAGCATCTATTTTGCTTTATGACCTGCAATAAGTAAGTGACTGCTCTTTTACCGACAGTTAAAAGGCAGTTATATGGAACTAGTCTGCGAGGTCCACTGCTTTTTATTTCCTTGTTTAAGTTGCCACCTCCTTTCAGCTCCAACTTAATAAAGTTAATTAATTAGAACTATGAACCAGGCCCTGTTTATAGACATTGGGGAACAGAGTTATCCGTAGCCAGTGTGGCAATAAATTGTTCTTGTGTGTATTGCTAAAATGTAAAATTTGCCCTTCAATGCAATTCCAATTTTCCTGAACACAAATCTTAAAAATCAAAAAGTGAAGGATAGAGGAGAGGATCCAAGATGGCTACTCAGGTAGACACCTAACCCCAGCAGCACACAATTTCAATGGAATACAACTAAAATGTAGAGTGGACATTGCCCAGAGGTAGTCGACTGATTGAAAATTCTATAACAAGAAGGAAAGAGAAAACCAGAAGGAAAATCAGAGGAGCTGAAAAAGCCTAAGGTATGGAGACATGCTGCGCGCAAACACGAGCGCGAGGAGAGGACGCAACCGGAGAGGAGGAGAAGGCTGGGTGCCTGCCTGGCGTTCCCTAGCAGGAAGGAAATAAAAGCCCAGGCCTGGACTGAACCCCAGAACCGGCAGCGCTGAGCCCCAGTTATGGGCCAGACCCTGGGGGCCCAGGCTCGGGCAGGGGGAGACGGGGCTGTGAGGTGGAATCCCAGGGGTGTGGCGAAAAGCAGAGCCCCCAGAGTCCTGCACATTGCTCGCAGAGGACGGAATGTTGACTCTGATGCGGGATTGCTCTGGAGGGAAGGAAACAGGAGCTCTGGCTGTGCTGAGCACCAGTTTCAACTGCTCTGAACCCATGTTCTAGGCCAGACCCTGGGGGCCCAGGCTCAGGCAGGGGGAGACGGGGCTGTGAGGCGGAATCCCAGGGGAGCGGCGAAAAGCGAGCCCCCAGAGTCGTGCACATTGCGCACAGAGGACAGTCTGTTGACTCTGATGCTGGACTCCCCTAGTGGGAAGGAGAAAAAAGCTCCAGACTGGAGGAACAAGACGAGGAGCAAGAGCCCCTGCCGGACACCGGCCAGCCGGGCGCCAGCAAGGAGCCGGGCGACGGGGCCTCCGGGGGGTGGGGGGTGCCCCTGGGCTTTTGACCGCTGATGGCGGGCCACTGAGCTGAGGCCAGGGGCTGCTTCCTGGGCGGCGCCGACCCCGGCAACAGGCTGAAGCAGCACAGGAGCCCACGGAGAACAAAGGGGTGGCACAGGCCAACCTGAGTTTCCAGGACAAGGAGGAAGAAACCAAAGAAGTTTTCAATGTGAAGAAATCAAGTGAGAGCAAAAGATAGTAAAATTACTTAAGAAAGAATACAAAGAAGTTCTTGAAAAATCAAAGACTAAGTCAGAACTCAACTCACCAGCCAACATTGCAACATAAATGCGTTTTAAAAAAAAAAGAAAAAAAAGGACAGAATGTTGGAACGACAGCGGCCAGGCCTAGAGTGGCCAGGCACAAGGCATTGGCAACCGGGCCCGGAACAGCAACAGCCAGGCCCCAGAGCAGCAGCAGCCAGAACCAGAGCAGCAACAGCCAGGCCTGGAGCAGCCAGACCTGGGGCAGTGGCAGCCGGGCCTGAGGCGGAGGCGGCCAAGCCCAGGGTGGCCAGTCCAGGAACACCCAGACTTGGAATGTCCAGGCCCAGAGAAGCCGGCCCCAGAGCAGCTGGGTTGGGAGCAGCCAGGCCCAGAGCACCAGCAACCAAGCCCGGAGCAGCCAGGTCATGAGCTGCCAGGCTCGGAGCAGCCAGGCGCAGAGCAGCCGGGTCGGGAGCATCCAGGCCCAGAGCAGCACCAACCAGGCCCGGAACAGCCAGGTCAGGAGCGGCCAGGCCCAGAGTGGCTGGGTCGGGTGCGGCCAGGCCCGGAGCAGCAGCAACCAAGCCCAGAGCAGCCAGGTCTGGAGCAGCAGTGGCCAGACCCGGAGCAGCCAGGCCCGGAACAGCTCGCTCCTCGCCTGCCACGGCCCCACGGCTGCCTCTCAGACATGGCTGGAAACTTTTGGGGGAACTGAAGGGTCTGCTGAATCTAGTGATGAAGGCTTAGATCTGGATGTGTTGAGTTAGTATAGTGCTGGGGTGTTGATCTGTAAGTGCCTTGTGTGGGGCCTGGATGAGGTTGGTTGATCTATTTGGAAATGTCTTTTGTGTGAAGTGTATCCTTGGGCATGTGGAGGTATTATTATTTTGAGAAAATGCTAAGTAACTTATTTACTATCTGAAAAATTTAAAGTTCTGAAAGTTTAAGTTCTCTTGCCAAAAAGAGGTTTTAAATCTAGCACCTTAATTTTAATGGAGAAAGGGAATGACAAGCCCTTCCCACCCAGAACAGGTAATCCAATTCCAACCAGCAGCTAAGTTTAAACAATGTGTCCATTTACACTTGAATGGCTACACCTTTTGATAGCCAAAGGGCAAGTTTACATGTAAACAAGTTTGCTCTCAATTCCCAGGGCAGAAAAAAAAGCTTTTAAATTATTAGATTTTAAAATTTATTCTTAGAAGTGTAAAAGTTTATTAATTAAAAATTTAAAAAAAAATAACAACAAAAAAAGGAGATTGAAAAACCTGATGAACAATAATAGCTGTTCATTGTAGTAGAGTTGACGATATGGGAGGGGAGCAGACTGACTGTTCTTGGGAAAGAGAAAGAGACTGAACATAAACTGCACCTATGGATGAGGACAATGTGGGGTGGGGTGGGGGCAGAGGGTGGGGTGGGAACCTGGTGGAGGGGGGAAGAAATGAGGAACCTTTGTAATAATATGAACAATAAAGATTGATTTTAAAAAAAAAAGTGAAGGATATTTACACATTTGAGCAGACAAGAACTCTAACAGGAAAGAGAGAAGTTAAATGAAAGAATTCTAATTTTTAGTCCTAACATGATTCTGAAAAGACTTGGGCTTTTCAGAAACACAACTGAAATTCAACCAGGTAGTTTGAATACACCAGGTGGCTGATAAACACTCTGAAAACTTGGCGCTAAGAATCAGTCAACAGAGAGAAGCAGCCGGGTGAATAAAGGGAAGTAAAAATGACACAAATGGGGACAGAGGGCATCACCAGATCCAGGAGTCAGCTTCCGTGGCATCTGTCTGCAGGAGCCTGAGGCTAGCATAGCGGCTGCACTGGCCCACAACCCCTTTCCCTGACTCACTGACAGGAGCCTGTTCTGAGCAGGCCTGTAGGAAGACTATAGCTGTGAAGACGAAAACACAAGAGTTGAAGAGGTAAGTGCTAACTAAGAAGCCAATCGCTTTCTGTTATTTCCTTGATAGCTGTCTGTTCAACAAGGGGCTAGATCCATGGTTGGCAAACTAAGTTCGTGATCCACATGTGGCTCTTTAGCCCCTTGAGTGTGGCTCTTCCACAAAATATCACAGCCTGGGTGAGTCTATTTTGAAGAAGTGGTGTTAGAAGAAGTTTAAGTTTAAAAAAATTTAGCTCTGGCCAAAACCGGTTTGGCTCAGTGGATAGAGCATCAGTCTGCAGACTGAAAGGTCCCAGGTTCGATTCGGTCAAGAGCATGTACATTGGTTGCGGGCACATCCCTGGTGGGAGGTGTGCAGGAGGCAGCTGGTCAATGTTTCTCTCTCATCTAGCTCTCTGTCCCTCTCCCTTTCTCTCTGGAAAATCAATAAAATAAAAAATAAAAATAAAAAATTTAGCTCCCAAAAGAAATTTCAATCTTTGTATTGTTAGTATTTGGCTCTGTTGACTAATGAGTTTGCCAACCACTGGACTAGATGAATAGAATTAGAGTGTGTTTATTTTAGTTTTGGTTTTTGTTAATTGATGATTAACAAGGACATTTTCCATTGATTTTTAGAGAGAGTGAAAGGAAGAGGGGGAGGCCGGGGCCAGGGAGTGAGCCT